AGAGAGCATAGAGTTCCCTTTCATAGGTGGACTTTGCCAGTTTCTTTGATGGCATCTTTTTGCTCATATACTCAATCGGTCTCAACTTTTTCCCATCGTGCTGAGCCAGCACTGCGCCAATGCCGTATTGGCTTGCGTCAGTGGTCACTATGAATGGCTTCTGAGGATCGGGCACCATGAGAACCTCATGATTCATGAGTGCATGCTTCAATCGTTTGAAAGCAGCCTCACACTCATCACTCCAGTCCCACGGCGTGTCAAGTCGAGTTAGATCAGTCAAAGGAGAGGCGACTGTGGAATAGTTTTTTACGAAGTTTCTATAGTAACCGCACATTCCTAAGAAAGATCTGACCTCAATAACAGTCTGAGGTCGTGGCCAGTCCCTGATACTAGCCATCTTCGCATCTTCCGGCCTAACACCTACCGCAGATACTTCATGACCCAAGTATAAGATCTTAGTGCGTCCAAACTCACATTTCTCTAGGTTGACCTTATACTTGTGTTGTCGCAGGAGGGAAAGTACAGTCTCAACGTGTTGTGCATGCTCCTCGACAGACTTACTAAAGATAAGAATATCGTTAAGGTAGACAACGACAAACTTATCTAAGTGGTCATGGAAGATCCTATTCATGGCATGCTGGAATGTACCCGGCGCATTGCAAAGGCCAAAGGGCATCACTACAAACTCATACAGACCGTATCTGGTCTGAAAAGCAATCTTGTGCTGATCCTCGGGTCTTATTGCAATCTAATGGTAGCCGGACTTTAAGTTTATCTTGCTATAGTACTTACATCCCTACACCCTATCCAATAGGTCGTCTATGCGAGGTAGAGGCTCTGCGTTTTTCACTGTGATGGCATTGAGGCCTCTGTAATCGGTGCACATCCTCAATGTACCCCCCTTCTTAGGTACAAATAGCACTGGAGATCCGAAGGGGGAAGTACTCGGCCGGATCCATCCCTTTTCTGTCAGCTCTTTCAGTTGTCGCCAAAGTTCATCCAACTCGGCCGGAGCCATCTTATAGATCCTTCCCTTTGGGGTTTTACTCCCTAGAATGATTTCTATGGCGTGGACAACCTCCCTATCGACGACTCGTGTGGGCTCCGTGAACAGATCAGGGAACTTAGCAACGACATGTTCTATCTCTGGGGGTGTTTTAACGGCCGCCCCTTTCTCAGAGACATACACAAGGTACATACCCTCCTGTTGGTTCTGTTTAGAGTAGTTATAGAATGCTAATGCACACAAGCAGCCATAGGTATCGATTATCCTACTGGCTTTGAACTTAGTCAGTCTTACCGTTCTTCCATCAGGCAACTTATGCTTTAGCACCTTCTTGTCCCAGTCAAACTGGGGCTTGGCAACCTCAAGGTAGTACATTCCTAACAACATGTCGAATGGTAAGTCGTCGCTAATCAGGAACGAAATCTTATGATCAAGTTCTCCTCCTCCATAGGAGAAAGTACAAACTACATCCTTGATATAGTCTGTGACAACCATGCACTCCTTATTGGCCAAAGTAGATGCTACCGGTCTACTAAGGTGTTGTACCCGGTCCTGTAGGTGCAGCCTTTCCAAGCAGTCGCGACTTATGTAATTCCGCGTGGAGCCGATGTCTATGAAGGCACCACATTTGCGGTCTCCTACAACAACTTCCACAACGAAATGTTCCCCTCTAGGACCTCTTCTTAATGCCACCCAAGATTCGCGAGGGTCCTTGCTTGACCACTCACTTTCTAAATCTTCTAAGGCATCAGACACATCCAATGTACAGAGTATAGTTTGGTCTGGATGAGTCTGTAGGGTGACTAAAGAGTCATTAGCTATGGCCTGCTCATGAAGTGGGGAGGGTATCTGGCCCACTTCACCATGAGTAGAAGCAGCTAAAACTTCCACCGACCTCACATGTTTCCCGAGCTAGACACCTGGGAAGAAGGTACCCCTACCTTAGGGGGTATCTTCTGCGTGACCTTTGCATTCTTGCACTTGTACTGGGTGTGTCCGTATTCACCACAGTTGATGCAAGCACCACGCACTCTACGGTCCCGCCACACTTCTTGATCAAGACCTGCCTTGACCCAATCAGCAACTTCGGTCTGGTTGGAGGCGGCCTGCCCTTGACTCTTTTGATGGCCTTTCCCTCGGCCACCTGCCTTAGTCTTTACTACTGCGGCGAGGGTGCTACCCTCTGCGGTTTCCTCGCCGTCGTACTCTGTGGTGTCCAACAGGTCTGAAAGCTCTTCGATCTCAGCTTGGGTCCCATCAGACTCAACCATCATCAATCAACTCCCCTTCTTCTTCCATTCTTGTGGACTCTTCTTCTTCCTCGCGTCTACTAGAGTAGGTTGAGCACTTTCTAGAGTAGCCTCTAAAGGCTTTTCTAGATAAGGTCTCAAACGAATGATACTCGAGGCGAGCCTCGCTGGCCAGCAAATTTATGAGATTCTCAGGGAGACATCTCACAAACATGGTCAATAAGACCTGGTCATCGTAGCGTATGTCGGGAACGACGATGAGGCTCTCTACGGTAGTCGTTAGCTCTCTGACTTACTTAAACTTTCGTTGATCAGTGGCAATTTGTGCCTGCTGTGGATTATGCCAGCGAGCTTCTACCATGTCTAAGAACTCTTCTAACGTTAGGGTCTTAGCCCAGTCCACCATGCGTCGTCCGTACCCTGCCTTTGCGACTAATCCATCCAGCCATTTGGCTGCCTTACCCTCAAGGTAAGATGCAGCAGTAATTACCTCCTCCTCCTGCATAGTCCTCTTTGCCCTTACCCACACGGGAACCGTTCTCAACCATGTGTTGAGTTCCTCGTCCTTCTTCTCTCCGGAGAAGGCAAGGGGCGGTTTCATAGGGGTCTTTGGGTACCATTGACCTTGCTGCTGTCCCTGTTGAGGAACAGGTTGTTGCGGTGATGGTGTAGCTATCACCGTTGACCCAGAAGAAGCAGAAGCAACAGTCTGTGCGGCTGCTGCAGACGTACCACTTGGTTGTGTGCCAGCTTGTACCGGAAAGGGGCTTGACATCGTCGTTAACGGCAACGGCGACTGTGCTGCTGGCCTAAATCTTGGCCTTTGCAAAAGGTCCAAGATCTGGTCCAAAGAGTTCTGCATGAAGTCCAGTCTGCTGTCCACATGCGCATGCAGCGACAGTACGCTGTT